TGAGTAATAAATCTGCTTTGTCTCACCTGTGTGAGTGTTCTGTCTCACCAGACTCAAGAGATTAGTTGAGAATGTTTGCAAGGTGGTTGTGGTCAATTCTTTCGGCTTCATCTCTCTGGCCTGTCTTCCCGCTATAGAAGATAGCAAACCAAATACTTTCTTTCCCAGCTTATCTTGCAGCTAGGAGTGGGGATGGAATTCTGTTTTAGCCAAGGAGACATAGAAGGAAACCTGCCAGAGGGATTCTGGGGAACACTTTTTCTTCATGTGAAAAGGAGGAAGGCATGGTTAGAGGGTTTTCTCTCCCTGTCTCTCTCATCCCCTTGCCTGCTCTCACTACTTTCAGATTTTGGACTTAAAATTATGGAGATGAGATATCTGGAGCCACTGCTGCCATTTTTCAACAATGAAGGGAAATTTGAGGAAACTACAGAGAAACTGGAACCTTCACAACACGGAGCCACCAGACTAACCCTAGAACCATGTTCCTACAGACATGTTAGATAAACAGGTGATGTCTTTGTGAATTGAGCCAAAGTTAGCTGACTGTTCAGTACCCTGAAGCCATAATCATCCTAACTGATGGAGTAGGCAATGTTATTATTTTTGTTTTGTATATGAGAAAACAGACTTAAAGAAATTGAGTAAATATCACAGGTTGTGCCTCTGTACAACAAAGGACAAAAGGCAAAGGACAGAACCATGACTTAAACTCACATAGCTTCAGAACAAAAATACAATCTCCTTCAATTTGTTAAATCAATTATCATGTACCATGTTTTTCATATCCTGCACCATACTGAATTGCCACGTTGTCATAATTTGTTTTCTCAATGTCTCTCTTAAATGAGATTATTAATGCCAAGTACAGTTGCTCCTTAATCTGACTAGTGTAGAAGATAAACAGACATTTACTATCTTGCTCTCAGCACTTAAATGAACACAGAAAAAAATCCCACGAGCTTTTTACTCAGTCTCCATGCCCTCATATCAACTCATATTAAGCTTTATTTTTTCCTTAACATTCTCTGACTCTTTAATATCTAGATAATGAAAATAACCATAAAGAATTGAAAGGGGTTGTTGAAGAAGGATTTTCTTTAGTCATTTGCCTTCATACATACATATAGGATAATATATAATTCTTCCCAAACAAATGATAATTTCTTTTATATTTAAAGTTATTCAGTTATAAGGAATCCTAAATCTCACTTCAAGGCTTCAGCATTTAAAGTTATCATGATTACCATTAACAGTATCAATAAAATGTAAGCTACACAAATGCAGGGACTTTTTGTCCCTATACTGCATCCTCAGCATCTTTGGTAGTGCCTGGTACATATTAGGCACTCAGTAAATATTAGTCAAATGGGAATGATTCTAAGAAATTCTTCCTTCTATTCAGTTTAAGGTCTTAAATTTATTTCTCTATATTCTTTGCAGAATGGAGATCCCCAAAGGAATGGTCTAAAGTACAGGTGTCTTACAGAACCCTGGTTAGGGGATGGCTATGTTTATTCATTTTATTAGCTCTCTCTCTAATCCATTATTGGGCGAAGATTTAATACCACTCTGTATACAACTGATGACACTATTTCCCATAACATTCAGTCTAACCAGTTATTTTTGGATTTCTAACTTCTGATCTGCCCAGAACACATGGTTGGTCAATGAATATGTCACATAAGATAGAATTAAGAGCTATACTGGAGCCAGTGAACAGGCCAAATGAACAAATGAATGAATAAAACCAAGATCTATTACAGTTACAGTCTGTCTTTGATCCTCACTCAGTCTCATCTCCTTTCACAGGAGAATTTGTTTCTAACCAAACCTTTTTATTATTTTCCTAACACTCAGTTCTTTTTTACATGCCCTTCTGTTGGTTCCTACTGTTTTCATAGAAATCAAAAGTAGTCTCAAAGATCCAAATTTCCTTTGTCTGCCTAATAACGTTTATTACTTTCCCTAATCTAATCTTTGAAAATTTCACTAGATCTCTCTCATATCATTGCTCTGAGATTAGCCAAGGAGCCCATTCTTTACACCAGATTTCAGAAGAATCTGTAAATATGAATCCATTTACTCACTCTTATCACTTTAATCAACTCTCACCACTTTTGTTTAATTATTTTACTTTCTCTCCCAAGGGAAGAATATCCTAGTTTTTGGTCTCTTTGCTACAATGATTAGGAAAACTCTTAGCCTAAAAGTCTAATAGAGGCTGAGAGATGCGTGTCTAAAGTTCATAGAGTTACAAAAGAGTTTTTCAAAGTTAAAACTAGGAAGGGAATTAGGAAACAATGGGTTTATACAGAGTGTCAGTATTATTTGATGTGTGTACCCTTAACCGACAAAAATCTCAAATGAGGAAAACTATGATGTGTGTTTTCCTGAGAACATACTCAGAAATATTTTATTACTATGAATTTAATTAAATCTAATTGAGTATTGTAGCATTTGAGGATCCTCTTCATGAGTGACATTTACAACTTGGCTCGCCTTCCCAGTGGAAGGAAAAGTGTTTCTCTTGACCTAGTTGAAGAAGAACCCAGAGTCTGAAGCTACATATCTAAAGTCTTCAGCTAACAGAAACTCAGGTAACTATGGAAACAAAGTGATACCTCATCATTGTTAGAATATTACTGGCACTGTTTTTATCTTTAACACATTTTTTTTGAGTTAAACACTTAAAAAAAGACAACTATTACATGCTTTGAGTTGGTGTTAAGCTTCCAATGTGGCATAGATAAAGGACCTTGTCTCAAGACCCACCAAACATGCTTCCCTGTGCCAGGCAATTATTCAATTGAAATATTTGCTGGACACCATTTATGAGAACAATTTTTAACATATTGAACTAGGCTGCTAGAGTTCTGGTGAAATATTCTATGCCACCCAAAAAATTTATAAAACCAAAATCAGACATTACCACAAAGTGATAAAAATAAAAGACCAATGAGTCAGGAAAATGACCATATTCTGTTAAGTTTTAGCATAAGGCATTAAAGAAAAATAAAAGGTAAGGGAAATTGGTAACAGTACTGGAAATTTATTCTCAGTCTTCTTCTAAATAGCTTCACGTTCCAGCAGAATACGTGTTTGCCAGACACAACTCTCACATATTCTTGGCATGATTGGAAATCGATGTAACTTCACTGGAGGGCAATTTGGGCAAATTCATCCAAATTAAAAAGTACATTCATTTTGACTGAGCGATTCAATTTTTAGAAGTCTATGCAACAGTCTATGCAACATAATTCTTATGTTTTCCAAATTATATATGTACTATTTATAAGAATGAAAAATTGGAAACACCATAAATACCCATCAGCATAGGACTGGTTAAATATAATAAATTACGGTACATTCACTCAGTGGAATGTCACATATCCTTAAAAAGTATGAATAATATGAAATATCTCCAAAATGTATTAAATGAACAAGTAAAATGCATAACTTTCTCTCCCTCCCTTGTATATGCATTGAATTTCTCTGGAAGGAGGCATATAACTGACCATAGCTGCTTCTAGAGAGGGAAACTGGGAGATGGGGGGAAGGGGAAGAAGAAAGAATTGCATTTCAGTATATAACAGTTGAGATTTTTAATATGTCTATGTAATGCTAATTTTTAAAATTAGCTTTAAAAATGTATATATTGCTATATTAAATTTGTCATTAAATGAGATCAAGTGAACTACTGTGATTTAGCTAAAATAAATCCTTGCTGCCTCAAATCCTGATGATCTATGTTAGAAACTTATGCGTTGTCAACTTCAACATGAGCTTCCCTTCCCTGTCCCTATAACCAGTGGGGTTTAGGGCATTTAAATTAGAGAAAAACAAGATTAAGACAGCAGATGTTCATGTCCCTGCTGCCAACCACAAGTGCCTGCACTGAAACACACACTCACCCCTGTGGAGTGCATATTATGTATAAGGCATTGTTCTAGACTCTGAGAATGCAAAGATGAATTAGACACAGAATCTACCCTCTGCAGAAGAAAACAAACCTCACCATTTAAAGAACTCTGCTCTGGAATCAGACAGAACTGTATTTTAATTGTTTCCTTCACTTACTAGCTCTCTGACATTGAGCAATTGACTTAACCTTCTGGGCGCCAACTCCCTCATTTGTTAAACAGGGTTTACAGGGCCAACTTCCTGGAAATGTTATAAGAATTAATGAGATGATACAATCATTGTTTAAATGACGAACATATACTAAAAGTTCGATTTAGAGTTCTGAGGTTTTCTAAATATCTATCCTCCCTCCCCCATTTCCTCTTTTCTCCCTACTCCCAACCATAACATAGTATAGAGTAGGGGTTCTTAACCTGGGAACCATAGAGAGGATTCAGAGGTCTCTGAATTTGGATGGGAAAAATATATATACTTTCATTTTCCCTAACCTCTAATTGAAATTTAACATTTTCCTCAATTATGAATATAGCAACAACCTATAGTTGCATTAGCAGTATTTGTGATTTTTATCATCAATGGAAGTCACATATTTTTATATCATATTACAGTTTTTCTAGCTCTCTGGAAATTGTGAAACTCAACACTATTACTATAATTATTAGATGAGACACTGGATTTTGTTATTTGTGTTAATAAAAAGACATATATATAACAATCATAGATTATATTTTAATAACATTTTGTTAATTATATTTCAACATAAATATTTTCATTTGTAATCCTATGCCTTTTATTTTATTCATTTTAAATGTATTATTCTTAGAAGCGGTCTACGGGCTTCACCAAGTTTCTAAAGGGGACAAAAAAGATTAAGAAACACTAGTGTAAAGCAACACAGCATTTCCTGAAAAGATGGATAACTAACATAAAGTTTCATCTCCCTTCCCCAAAATCAACTGTGGAGAAATTAGATACCTGGAGGAGACCTTGAAACTGAAATGACATGGAGCTGGGGAGCAGGGTAAAGGGTAGCCCATTTGTAGTCATGAGACAAATGGTTGGAAGAAAGGTCTTACCTTGTCTTCTTGCTGTTCACTCCTATTGCCTTAGAAGAGTCATTGTAGGCCTGATGGCCATTTTGAGATCAACATCCACAAAAGAGGCCCAGGTGGCTGGTTTGTGCATAATATCAAGGCATCGCATCAAAAAATTGCTGAAGTGTGGATAGATTTGCAGCTAGAGTATCTGCTCCCCCATCTTCTCCTCTTCCCAACCACAGGAACCAGTGGGTTACAATCCTAAACCCATCAGTGGTCAGTTGTCATCCCCAGATGCCTGTGGCTCTGTGCCCTGGGATTCATCCCTCCCCTCTGCCTAAACTCATCAGAAGGAGCACCAACTATGACCTCACCTACCTCACCACACAATGGTGTTGTCAAAACCCCTGGGGGAGCAAGCCCTCACAGGCTGAAATATCTAGACTCCAAAAGAGTGTGGCCAGGAGTGGAAAAAAAAACACAAAACTGAGCATATGAGGCAGATTTGTGGAACAAAGGGCTCCAAAATTTAAAATGAGGATAATGACCATAAAAATATAAAGAAGAGTTTTAATAATTTTAAATCAGCTACTATAGAATTGAAATCCAATAGGTAGCAGAAATTGTGCCAATGTCAAGGAAGTCCATAATGAAAACTAAATACTAGTGAAGCTACCAGTAGTACTTACAAACTGTAGGTGAAAGAGCTAGAACTGGGAATCCAATAGTAATAAAAACCAACCAACCAAACCATTACTGATGCTAACCATCACAGCTAGCACCGATGATCAAAGGCCTCCCAGAGCAGGGATTTGAACCGGAGCTTTAAAATGGAGAAAAATAGGGGTTAATAAAAGGAGAAATGAATATATTCAAGGCAAACAGACAATGTGGATGACAATACAAAGGTAGCACTGAAAAAAAATCCGGATTTGGAAATAACAGGTAGATTAGGCTGGCTTGAGCTGACAAAGTATTAAGAAGAATGAAGAAAGAAGAGAAAATTGATGTCAGTTATTGAATAAAAGATTGAAGAGTTCAAATTTCATATGTTAAGCAAAAGGATGCCTCCAAAGATTCTCAAGCAGGTAATTTACAGATTTCCATTTTACTACTTTGATATGGAGGAGAAAAAAAAATACACTTAAAATTACATTCACAGGCTTCCATTTTAAATCCGCCCTCATTAATAACCTAACACTGTCTGTACTGTTAAAGCCCTGAGACATTACCAATTGTCTGATTTAAGACCTGGTGGAAAACACAGGAATCTAAAGATTTCCCTGATAATATATTTGGATTTTTCTTCTAAGTAAATCTCAGTTTCCAGAAAAGTCATGGTAAAAAGTATTCTGAGAATTTTTATATAATCATTGACATACTAAAATGTCATGGTCAAGATGTTAGGCTTAACTGGTATTAATGCATCTTTGACGAATTGAACATGAAAAAGTATTCTTTGCCAGTCAATTAGGTCATTTTCTCTGCTTGCTTGATGATTTCAGGAGTCTTTATTGTGAATTCTTAGGGTAAGATTTAAAGTGTGACTACAGCTGCTTTTAAAAAGTCACAATTAATTGTACTGTCATACATAGCTTGATAGCTATGTATTTTATGTCTTCAAATCCACACATGAAGAAAGGCTCATATACTTACTCATTACTTTAATTTTTTGTATCATACTATAATCTGTAGATATGTACCTTATAATTGTATATTTCTTAGATTTGGGTTTTAAAAATTCCATTTATTTATGTTTTTATTCTCTAAACCAGAAGTTTAATAAGAATTGAATATTAAATAATTTGAGATTATTTTTTCAGAAAGGGTTTTTATTTTATTTATTTATTTACTTTTTATTTAGAGACAGGGCCTCACTCTGTCATGTAGGCTGGAGCGCAGTGGCCTGGTCATAGGTCACAGCAACCTTGAATGCCTGGGCACAAGTGATCCTCTGCCTCCTGAGTAGCTAGGACTACAGGCATGTGCCATCATGCCAGGCTAATTTTTAAAGTTTTTATAGAGATGGAGTCTCACTATGTTGCCCAGGGTAGTCTCAAACTCTTGACCTCCAGCAATCCTCCTGCCTCTGCCTTCCAAAGAGCTGGGATAGGCATGAGCCACCATGCTCGGAACTATTTTGTTTTTAATTTATTGTTACCATATAGTACAAGTCAAGTAATTTTAGATGTCAAAGAGTGCTGAAAGTCTTCTAACAAAGACATAGCCATCTTTTGATGCCTCTTTCCCCAACCCCTTACTCCTGTGCCCAGAGTAAGCCATTTTTTAGCTTTCTTGGTTGTCCTTCTGGTATTTGCATCAATATTTTAAAGTAATATACACAACCTGTCTTTCCAGATTCTGTCTAGAAGCTAGACAGTCACTGTTGACAAGATTAATGTCTTTGTAATTTTTAAAATGTGATCCATCTTTCTTAAAATCATTTTTGTCCCTAATGCTCTGAAATTTCACAATCATATGTCATAGTATAGGCTTTTTTTTTATGCATTGTGCTAGCACTCATATCTTTCAGTTCGGAGTAATGTTCTTGTATTTCTTTCCCACCATTTTCTCCATTTTCCCCTCCAGATGTTCCTTCTGATGGAATGTCTATCCATCAGATATTGCATCACTAATTTTTTTTTTTTTACTATTTTCCTATTATTCATCTCTTTTTTGTTCAGTTTTTGGGGAGATTTTCTCATCTTCATCTTCCAAATCTTCCTCTGTGTTTATTCTATTTACTCTCATATTTTAAATTTCTCTTTTTACTTCCTTTAAAGATATTTTGCCTTATTTTATTAATGCAATATTTCTCTTATCTCTGTGGTGTTTTCTTTGAGATTTTCCTCTTCTTGAATGTTCTCTTTTTTTCCCCCTAGTTTTGTTTTTCTCTCTTTGCCTGTTTTGGTCTCTTCCATGTTAGGATTATCATCAAATATCTATTTATCGTTGGCTGTCCTTTCATGTTTCTGAGTGAAGCACTAGGAAGGTGATGGACATCTGTTTGTGCAAGGTTGGGGTGGCATGCTGGGGGCTGCAGTGCAGGACAAAAGAGAATTGACTGGCTTTTTACTTGTGAATATGCCACATCAGTATTAGTATGTCTTTTCCCTGGAGTTATTTGTTTTCTCTGCAGGAGATTCCAGTCTCCTGTTTAAGAGATGAGATAATGACAGGATGAGTAAATAACCTAGCTGCCCAGTTGTCTTCTGAAACTGAGTAGGGAAAGGGACATTCCTATCCACATGGCTGCACTGTTTTAAGTATGCCATCCCTTCCATGATCTGACCCCAGTCCATTACCTCTAGTTTGTTAATCTAGAGAATACACATCCAGTCCAGTCTCCTACTGGAGTGGAGTAAAGGCAGCACTCTGACAGTGCAGGATAGAAATGAAGAGCAGTAGTCCCCTGTTTCAGGTTCAGAACCAACCTTGAATTCCTAAGCCTGCTTCAGGTCTATACAAAACATCTTGCCTCTGGTTGTTGCCTTTCACATGTGTGTGAACACACACACTCAATCACTCAGACATGACCTTCCTCCCACCGGCTAGATTGTTTATGATTTCTCCATCTTTTTCTGTATTCATATTGTATTTGAATTAAACATCTCCTAGTTTCATTGGCAATGACATTTGTGGTTTTCTTTCTTGTTCCTATTACTGTTTGGGGATGATCTTTGAAGACAAGAATTCAAAAGACAATTTTATTAAGCTACCTTGGAACAAAAGTTTTCTGGAAAGTAATCGAAGAACAGATAACTTTTTTGTGATTGATGAAGACTGCTTTAGTTTTAGATTAGCAATACCCAATAAAAATTTTTGAGATGGCAAAAATACTCTATTTTAGCATTATACAATATGGTAACCACTAGCCATATGTGGATATTGAATCCTGAAATGTGGCTGAGGAAGTGAATTTTTAATTTGATTTAGTTTTAATTAATTTAAACATTAACTTAATACATGTGGCTAGTGGCTGCTGTATTGAACAGTGCAGTTTTAAGTAGCAGATAAGTTGAAAAGCCAAACCAAGATTCCAGGTAGATAGATGGCCATTTCCAATCTGAAACAGATTTGGTCTTTTCTCACTCATAAATAATACATGCAATACCCAAAGTACTACACTCTATACTTCTATAGTATCAAGATTACTTTATGCTGGAAGTTCCACATGTTATCCATCATATCTACAGAAAATGTCAGGTATGCCAATCAAATATTCAATGTTTTTAAGACCCTCTGGAAAAAAGTACCATAATTAAATGACCACCAATGGCCCCCACTTCTCCAAAGTATATCAGGGGTCCTCAAACTTTTTAAACAGAGGGCCAGTTCACTGTCTGGAGGGCCAGACTATAGTTTAAAAAAAACTATGAACAAATTCCTATGCACACTGCACATATCTTATTTTGAAGTAAAAACACAAACGGTTAAAAACACTCACATGTGGCCCACAGGCCATAGTTTGAGGATGCCTGGTATAAGTGAACTCTTCTACTGTGTGAAAGTGGCTGTGTGTTAATTACATTTTAGATGGCATTTGCATAAAATAACTTTTTAGTTTGAAAATAACTAATATTAAATTCTCTTGTGGCAATTATTCAAGAATCCTTTGTCCTCTGAGGCACCTAGCCTCCACATTCACTATTATAATAGCACATAATCTATATACAGAAGGAATAGTGTGTGTGTTCTATTTGTTATAGCTAAGAGGCATATATCTAGATCATTCTAAAGCAGTTTAAAATCACTGAGATATAGGATTAAGAAAACAAGAAACAATACAGCTCAATTTTCAGCTCCAAAGAGTGAACAGACTATTTCTGTGGAGTCTAATTCTCATGTTAGTGAGTAATCAGTAGGTTTCAGGTAATCATAAATAACCATGGGTCTGTATTGAATCTTTGCTGAATAACCCATTGTGATTTCTGCTCTGGAACTAAACACTCAAGGTAAAAGTTGCAAACCACATTACATTATTTCCAACAGATTTCTCCATGGGATGATAAAAGGTAAAAGAGTAATCAATGCTGAAAGAGACATTCCAGAGGCCTGTTTCCCTTGTATAAACTATTGGCCTGGGAAACCCAGACTTGGAGTTTGTTGAGGAGTCAACTGGAATAATGTAAAGCTGAGATTTTCAGCAAAGTGATAGTTCCACACTTGGAGGGGCATGAAAAATTACCCTTTTATTTGTAATAAGAAAAAAAAAGTTATCCTCTGATAGGATTAAATCCACGGAATCTTAACTACATTCACTATTCCTTGTTAAAAATTTCTAATCACAGCTCAGTGGTTACCAATTATCATTTTTGA